TCGATGTCCCTAAGCTGTACTGAAAGTACGAGGGGCTATCAAAAGGACAAAGAATTCTGGCTTGGAAGAAGTACAGCCAGGGTGGCAAGGGTGGCACGACTTCATCTTACATACCGTATATACTCGTGTATAAGCCGAGTTTTTTAGCACTTAAAAAAATACTTTTATTGGGGGCTCTTACATCTTATCACTATCTATACATTTCTCCAATGTGTCAAGCACATATGCCGCCAATATGGCAAGGGTGGCACGACTTCATCTTACATACCGTATATACTCGTGTATAAGCCGAGTTTTTTAGCACTTAAAAAAATACTTTTATTGGGGGCTCTTACATCTTATCACTATCTATACATTTCTCCAATGTGTCAAGCACATATGCCGCCATCATTTTCAAAGTATTCTCTTCCACTTGAGCCCCTGATATCAGTTCCCCATTTCTTACCCCTCAATCCCCGCCCACCATCCCTCACAAACCCTTGATAAGTTATAGATCGTTTTTTCCATATCTTACCTCGTCGTCCTTCGCCCCCTCACCCACTTTTCCGTATTTGTCCCCTTGGGAGGGGGTTCTAGATCGATCCTTGTGATCAATTTCCCCTTTCTCCTCCTACCTTCCCCAAATCCTCCTGGTATCTCTGCTCTCGTTGTGGGCCCTGAGGGGTTTATCTATCCTGGATTCCCTGTGTTGTAGACTCTTATCTGTAGCAGTATGCATGCTCCGGTCTAATCCAATTTGTAAGGTAGAATTAAAGTTATAGTGGGTGGGGTGAAGAAAGCACCAAAGAGCTAGAGGAAAGCTGTGTGTATTTCATTGGTGCTATACTGTACCCTGACTGGCTCATCTCTTCCCTGTGAAGAGATATCCAATTGTCTACAGACAGGTGCCCTGTCCCCACTCCATTTCACTCCCCCACTCCTTCCCCTCCCCTTGGGTATGGTTCTATTTTGGGTCTTAAATGCCTGATACTTGATCACATCGACACCTTGTGATCACACAGGCTGGTGTACTTCTATGTGGACTTTGTTGCTTCTGAGCTAGATGGCTGCTTGTTTATCTTCAAGTTTTTAAGACCCCAGACGTATCTTTATAGCCGGGCACCATCAGCTTTCTTCACCACATTTGCTTATGCACCCGCTTTGTCTTCAGGGATCATGTCAGGAAGGTAAGCATCGCAGAATGCGGGATTGTTGAGCACATTTTAAATGCAGTTTTTGTTGTAAAATTAGGTGCTTCAGCTGATATTCAGGTCGGCTTATACTTGAGTGTCTATGGTACTTTGGGCTTGTTGTCAGGAGAGACCAGTGCCTGGAGAAGGACATCCTGCTTGGTAAATAGAGGGGCAGCAAAAGAGAGAGGAAGGTGGATGGACACAGTGGCTTTCACAGTGGGTTCGAGTATAGGAGCAATGGTGGCGATGGCACAGGACCAGGCAGGGCTTTATTCTGTTGTGCACAGGGTTGCTGTGGGTTGGCACCACCTTGATGGCACTTAACAACAACCTGTATTTAGAAACAAGATGAACTAACAAAACCACCATGGAGGATATTAATAAGAGACTTGTAAATAAAACCCATGGTAGTCTTTAATTCCACCATTATGTAAATATACTGGCTGAAGGTACAATCTTTTTTTTTTTTTAATCTTTTTATTAGGGGCACATACAACTCATCACAATCCATACATACATAAATTGTGTGAAGCACATTTGTACATTCATTGCCCTCATCATTCTCAAAACATTTCCTC